GTTTTAAGAGTTCTGATCATTGGATTTGTATTTACTCTTCCTTCGCTGCCTCTGCATCACCAGCTGCAAAAGGCAAACAAAACCATTATTGATGCTCTAGCTAATTTCCCAAGAATCATCATAACATTGCCCAAGAACTATTTTCTTTGCTTTGATGTTCATGGGTTTTGATAAGATCATAAGAGTAAGGATTTTAGTATGGTCTAAGAGCCTAGGTATGGCCCCTTTTGAACCAAAACCTGATTCTTCATTGTTTCAACCTAGTACTGATTAAGCCTACGGGCCGTGGATTATTTTACTCGTAAGGCCCTCGGGCTGGACCGGGTTGTATATGGGACAGCCCGCAGGATTATGGTTCATGATATGATCTCTAGATAAGAGTGGTCTTTCTCTTTTAACTTACCGGAGGTATCATCAGGTTGATGATCTTTAGGATTGTTCTCCATGCATTTAAGCAAGAACTTGAAAGTCTCGACCTCGCAAGGGATGGTAAGCGCACCGCTCTGATCAAACCCAAACTCTTCCTCTGCCTTCTCGAGCAACACCTTGAACAGAGAGTGGCTGAGATAGCTTGTTGGTACGATAAACCTCCTTAGCTCCGGTCCAACATAAACCGCCAGATACCCTTTGGGAACATCATGCGGCGGCTCGGGACTTTGGCAGTTTTCCTCATCCGAGTCACAATTCTTGACGGCTAATAGCCTCTTGTTGATAACCGGTGAAATCATTACCGCTGCTTGCTTTCCAGCTGCCAATGGAGGAACATCTGACTTGGGACCTATCGTTACGGTTTGCCATTTCTGCAAAATCTCCTTTAGCCTCACGATCTGCCTGATTCCGGTTAACTTGGCCGCGTTGTTTTCATCCATCTGCCTAAATAATATGATAGTAATAAGACCAGCAACTTTTCCTTAATGAGAGCTCAAATGTCTCATAAGATCTTCTTCTTCTTCACTTGTAGCTGCATTGTTAATATCACAAAAAAACACATTACACAATTCTGCCTGAGACAAGAAATCCACACAATAATAAATCTATGACTTATAAACCAATTTGAAGCATTTGTATATAGCTCCTGATTAAATATATATTCATCAACCAGACAGAGGGGAAGGGACCCACATAGACAGGGCCCAAAGCTGTCTTTTTCAATAGAATATTTTCTCAGATTGATTGCAAATCCTAAATATTAGGGGTCACAGATCAACCTCAAGAACATCAAAGCCTATGTTTTTATATCGTCACGGTCACAAATCAACCTCAAAACCTCAAGAACACCAAAACCCACATTAGATCCGGATCCTTAAATCAAACCCATCCCTGAAACTTATTGAACACGTATACGTACAAATTACGTTATCATCAAAATATAGAAATTACCTGAAGAGGAAAACGAATTGAATCGCTCTTAGCTATGGATCCAATGAAGAACACCATGC